TAGATACCCTCACTTATGTGGAAGCCTTATGTACAGCCCCTGGTTATACTCTCATATGTGGAAGTTTTGTAATGGGCTTTATGCTTGGGAAACTCACTGCATTGACAGCTGGAGAACACAAGGACAGTGTGCCTTTGCTGTATTGACTGTCCTACTCTCTCTACATGACCAAACAGAGGCCTCTCGCTGGTCTGTCCCATTAAACTTCTATAACCACTTTCACCAAGAACTTCCAGGAGGTGTGCATGATTCTGGGTTTGCCACCATGGGAATACTTTCCTCCCGCAGATCGGAGTGAGTGCCAATGAACAAACGATCAGGAATGTCTCCCTGACATTAGATGAGTTGGCTGACTCCACAGCCAAAGCAATTTCAGCTCAGCAGTGGTTGCTTAACTCACTGGCCAAGGTAGTTTTGGATAATCACATAGCCCTCGATTATCTCCTTGCTGAGCAAGGAGGTGTCTGCGCCGTGGTGAACACCTCCTGTTGCACATGGATAAATGCCTCTGGGGAAATAGAAACCCAATTACATAAGATTAGAGAGCAAGCACATTGGCTACAAGTTTCACCAAATAATCCACTGTATTTGATTTGGTCAGCTGGTTACCGTCAGGTCTGCGCTCCTGATTTAGAACCATCCTGCAAGCTGGGCTTATAGTATTGCTTTTAATCTTACTCTGTATACTTATTGCAAAATTCTGTAGTTATCACCTGTCGAACATTTGTAAAGATGATGTACCTAATAAGGTGATGTTAGTTCAACAATTTAAAATGATTTCTGATGCTTATGACCTTGGCCAACCACAGACTTTAAATAAGAAATTCCTGAGACTTCTCCCTCCTGAACTTCCGTATTACTCAAATGAGGCCTAAATGGTTTCCAACCACTAAGCACTTTCGCTCCACTGTGGAACACAACAACCAAGAAAGGTCCTTCCTGGCACTGAGGAACAGGCCCACTATGTGCAGAGAACCTGTCTATTGATCAGCCTATGTTCAGGAATTAAAAATGGTGCCTATGTTCAGGAATTCTTGGATGCTATACTTTTACCTGCCATTTTAGCTATTGTTAAGATCTTGGGGTATTCTAAAATTGACTTCCTGGAAGCCAAAGAAAATCACCTTGCTGATGTTTCTTCAAGAAATGCAGCCCTTAAAGGAACCAACAACAGCCTCTGCCATTGTCCAAAAGGATATTTCCCCAAATGATAACTTAGAAAAACTGGCTAGAGAAGCCAAATAATTGGCCTCAGAAAAGGAAAGAGAAGATTGGAAATTCAACAATTATTGGTTTGATAAAAAGAGGTCTGGTTCAGACCAAATAACAACTGAGTCCTACCAAAGATTCTCAAATTCCCACTCCTAACCACTGTGCATGCATTAAACTGTTGGTCTACTCGCAAAACGACAGCATTCATGAATCAATGTTGGTGGGGAAATATTAATGAGGCCACAAAAAGTGCCTATCTCATGTTTCCCACTCGACCAAACTACAATCCAGGGAAGCCCGTTTGTACTGCCCCTGGACTTTTTAAACTGCCTAATGGGCCACCTGAGGTTTGGCAAATAGATTTTATACAGCTTCCCCGTCTCATGGAGACAAATATGCTCTAGTCCTAGTTTGCGTGCTTTCTCAGTGGACTGAAGCCTTCCCTTGCAGAGAGGCTGCTGCCTCTTCTGTGGCGAAAGTCCTTTTGGGAAGAACTATCCCACCTGGGGAACTCCGCTCGAGCTTCACGGTGATCAAGGAACCCATTTTACCAGTCCGGGACTTCAACAAGTCTGCACTCTTTGGCTGGTTTTACAACACTTTCACTCTGCTTACCACCCTCAGTCCTCTGGTTTAGTTGAATGCACTAATGATATTGGGACTCAATTGGCAAAATTTGCAGAGATCTTCAATTGCAAAATTTGGCCAAAAGCATTGCAGTTGGTCCTTCTAGATCTCAGATCCACCCCCTCTGGAACTCATAAACTCTCACCCTTTGAGAGAGTCACAGGATACCCAAGGCACTTGGCTCCTGCCTCTTTTGACCCACAGCTGATAAAATGAGATATACTCTAGTATTGCAAAGGCCTGATTGCTTCTATTAAAAATAACCATGTTCTGAGAAAGCAATCTTTCACAGTGCAGTCCAGGGAGATGAAGACCTTAAGCACCACACCTTGCAACATGGAGATTCTGTCTATTGGAAAAGACACCTCCAGTAGGACTCTCTTCAACCTCACTGGAAAGGCCCCTGTTAGGTGCTGTTAACTAACCTTGTGCCACAAAACTCCAGGGAATTGACTCTCGGATTCGCATGACACACCTAAAGAAAGCACCAAACCCTGACTGGACCTGCATGTCAGCTGGTGACCTGAAAGTAAAGATTCCCCAGAATTGAAACAGACTACATGTCTCTGATGAGACAGCTTTCCCAGGATGTCCAGAGCAGGCATGTTGGAAGTTTGTCCGCCAAACCTTTGATGATGACATAACACTCCTGATAATCTCCAATGCCTATGACCTTCATAACATATGGACTTTAGAAAAGAAAAAAGCTAAGAGTTTTCCCTTCTACCCCTCTTTGTTACCTGAAGGTCAGTGACCTCAATAGGTTTCCAATCTGTGCACTTTCCCTGTAAGACATCACTGAGGAAAAGTCCTTCCTGGTATTGAGGGACAAAAAGCTGCTGAAACCAGAAAAACCTGACTCTTGATCAGCGATGCTTTCAGAGAAAGATCTTGATCAAAGGGGGAAAACGTCAAATTAGTAAACAGAAGCCACTTAACGTCAAACTCTCAATTCCTCCAATGGACTCTTCATTTACAACCGCCTTCCAAATTTCCTCTTCCCCTCTATAAAAGAGTTTCTCCTTCCTTACTGCTGGGATCTTGCACATAGCTCACCATGGTTGCAGACCCCAACTTGCAATTCTTTGCTGATCCCAAATGAACCCATTTGTGCTGGAGAAAGAACTGGCTATCTATTTGTTTAAGGTCAACATTATATAAATCTTAGCTTCACATTTCCCATAGAACTTTGGAATGTCTATCAATGGACACTGTGACAGTATACCAAGAACAAAAACAGAGTAGAAGGCTTTTCACAGTGCCATACAAAGCTCAGTTACAAATATGCATCCTAGTATTTGGAAACTGATGCCTCTCTTAATGAAGGAAGAAATTTTAGTGAAGAAGAAAAAGTGCAATGGATGCCAAGTGAGAAGATGCATAGATGCATCACAAGCACAAAAAAAAAAAAAAAAAAAGTGTAATACTAAGAACAAAAGACTTGGCTGACAAATGCTTAGGTATAACCCGCAAAATAAAGTCAGTTATTTGTGCAGTAGTGCCGTGAATCTACACACATTTTAAATGTATTCAAATATTTTGTACTTGACAATAAAGTCTTTTTGGTTTTGTGATTAATTTTTCATTATGTCCTTTTTAATGTCCCTCTTTTATTTTTCCTTATTTTACCTTTTGCAGCAAAATTGCCTTAAAACCAATTAGTTATGTGGCAAAAATATTTGCAGCGAAAATGCTTGCGGCAGACATGTCTACAGTAAAGCCGCTTGTGGCGAAAGTACCTGGAGCACTTCAAACTGTTCAAGTAGATTTCCAACTCCAGGGTTTTTGCTGGTAAAATGTTTCACCAATTTGATGACTGCATTGTGTATAAACTGTTCCTTCATTTAAGAAGAAACTGGAGGGTCTAAAATTGATTGGCGTTGCTAGTGATTATGGCCACCACTTATTGAGTTCTTCTGCAAATACATTAAACTTCCTGGTAAAACCCAACCCTAATTAAACACAATCATCCACCTTCTCTGTGCTTGAACCTGGCAGTTAAACCCTTCTAGTAAGACTGATGCACACAAAAACAGAAGGGACCACTATAAATTCATGGTCAGTAACCTCACCTGAGCCCTGGATACTGCAAGCAGGCTTATTGTGTTTCTCTAGTTAGTTCAGTCTCTCACTCTGAACGGGTATTTCAAACCTTCCTCACTCTCCTCGGACACGTACATGCCCTCTTCACCTACTTCTCTTTCAAGAACTTAATTTCCCTATTGTTCTTGAAGGAAATGGAAGTCTTCAGAAGAGAGCTTTTGCCATTTTCTACCAACAGAGCTGAACCCATGCCCATCCTTTCCTCTTTTCTTCCTGCTACAATGGAGGCAGCACCTCTCCTGTCCTGTACGAGTGGGGAGGCCTATCTTTCCATGTGCTTTGCCACCCACCTTCACACTTTCTCAAAGATCATACGCAGCTCATCATCCTCTCCATATCTACGATCTTTCCCACTTTACTAAATCCTTTCTCTAGGTATTAAAATATGCTCCAGCATTCTCATCCTAATAATAATAATAAAAAATTAACCATCTCTAAATATCTCGCTTGACCCCCAAAATTCCTCCCTACTTGCTCCTCCCTTTTCTCTTCTTGGCCCCAGTCATCAACCTTTCTCTCAGCCACCATTCAGGGCCAAACTCAGGAAAGAGTTGCCTGCCATCAGTATTTTTACCTCTTCACTTCCATTTCCTCCTCTACTCACTCTGGTCTGGCACCACCTGCAAACCAGTCCATCAATGGCTCTTATGAATTAAACCTCCATATCATTACGCCCAATGGGCACTCTTTGACCTTCATCTTATTTTCCCTCTAAGCAGCATGTGGCCCACTCCCTCCTACTTGAAATCCTCTTTCTCTTGGCTTCTCTGACAACACTTACCTGATTTGCTTTCTCTTTTCCAACTGTCCATTCTCAGTTGTCTTTGTAAGCTCTTCCTTTCCTATTCTACCTCTAAATCTTGTAATTTTTCTCAGGACTCTGTCCTAGGCTCGCTTCTTGTCTTACTCTCTACCTTCTCTCCTTCAGTGACCTCATCCACTCCGATGGATTCTAACAACACGTATAGGAAAATTACTCCATATTTATGTTTAGCCTAGATGCATTTCAGATGAGGAAAGTGATATCATCTAATACTAAACCATGATGACAAACTTACCTGTATATGTGCAACTGTTTTCCTAAAGGCTTCTCTTTGTTTAACGTAGGTCCTCGTTTCTTCAAACATGAATTCACTGGCTGAAATTCCCAACTCAGCAATCAATAGCCTTTCCTATAACCCAAAAATTAGGTCTTGAACATTATTCTAATTACAAAAGTGATTTTCACCTGATTTCAATAATAATAAATTCTATAACTAACCTTTATAAAACTCCTAAAGATTAGTTTATTTCTTAATTCTTTATAAGAAAAGGCTCCCATAGAGGTTTATAAGAATGTTTTAACATATCTGTAATAACTTTCTAAAGCAAACCATTATTTTTTATTTATTTATTTTTTTAAGATTTTATTTTATTTTTTCCTTTTTCTCCCCAAAGCCCCCCAGTACATAGTTGTATATTTCTCGTTGTGGGTTCTTCTAGTTGTGGTATGTGGGATGCTGCCTCAGCGTGGTCTGACGAGCAGTGCCATGTCCGCGCCCAGGATTCGAACCAATGAAACACTGGGACGCCTGCAGCAGAGCGCGCGAACTTAACCACTCGGCCACGGGGCCAGCCCCAGCAAACCATTATTTTTATGAATGATTGTACTATATATAGATATCTATGTAATTTATTTAATTCTCTCTTCTCTTTACTCATCTATGAGAAAAGAAATTCCAAAGTTATTGATCTCTGCACATCACATTTCCTAACATATCTCTGGAAATCAACATTGTAAAGTGCACAGCTTAAATTCTGCCTATTAGTGCAAAGGTATCCATAGTCAGTTTAATTCCATCTTGATGGTGATTTTCATATTTTATTTCCATGCCAGTGTTCCTAGCCCTTGTCCCCAGTTTCATGTTTAGCCCATGCTGTGGCAGTCACTGGGCAGATGCACTCTCTTATGTTGACCTGTGAGGTCAATGATCACTCAGCAACCACACTCCAAAAACACAGATGTGAAGACTGACCCTGTGTGGCCAAAACTTCTCAGTGTGAACTTAACAGCTTTCCCCTTTGATTCCCAAGTATTATTAAAAAACCTGCCAAATGTTTTGGCTGATACTTCCTTACAAAGAGCTAAGAATCTTTGACGTAGTTAAGAAGCTAAAATCATTCCAAGAAAGAATCACAGAACTGAAATATCTATTTTTCCCTACTCACTTATAAGCTTTGACTGGGTACCTCTGAGTTCAGTTATTTGCTTATCTAGCCTACACAACTCATATATTTTTTTTATGACTTCAAGTTACACTCAAATGATTGGCTGTATCACAAGTTTTGTATGCATGGATTTATATAGTTCTATGTTATTCAATTCCAAGTCCATTATCTAATCAAAAGATAAAATCTTTAATACTTCTGACCTGTGGAAGCTCTTGCATGAGGTAATAGAAGCCTTTATTCCTGGGGCCGGCCCCGTGGCTGAGTGGTTAAGTTCATGCGCCCTGCTTCAGCGGCCAAGGGTTTCACCGGGTTGGATCCTGGACCTAGCACTGCTCATCAAGCCATGCTGAGGTGGTGTCCCACATAGCAGAACTAGAAGGACCTGCAACTAGAATATACAACTATGTACTGGGGGTCTTTGGGGAGAAGAAGGGGAAAAAAAATGATTGGCAACAGATGTTAGCTCAGGGCCAATCTTTAAAAGAAGCCTTTATTCTCTTCACATAGGGCACTAGCTGGCAACTGTACATCTTCACAGAATAACTCTGCAGTACCCTAAGAGATCACACAATTATTTCATTTAAATCTCCCAATAACCCGATGAGGTGACTATTATTTCCATTTAAGAAAAAAACAAAAAAAACCCCCAAAAACTGGAAACCATGTGGGAGTGGTTAATGAACACAACGAGGAAGTGGTAAACTAGGGATTCAAAGCTAGGCCCATCTGATTCCACAACTTGTGGCTTTCCCACTCAATACTCTGTCATTCTAGTTCCAATACTGTCCAGTTCTCTAGGTACTGAGGACTAAGGATTTCTAATGCACATTAAGCAAAATATGTAGGGGATTTTTGGTAATTGAAAAATAATTATAAAATAATAGAAAAAATATTTCCTGTTCTTATTTCATAATTTTCTTTAATCAGTTTAATAAATAGAGGGCCTATTGTCATGCAGTTAATTTTGCCTTTTCTAAAGCAGATATTCAAAATTCACTTCCATTACTCACCACCTGAAAGAGATGCAGTTGCATGAATGCTGGAGTAAATTTCCGTTATTATTTCTGAAAAGCGTATTTTGGAATTTAGCATAGGAACATATGATTGGGCCATATGTAGTTCTCTATATAAGGCATAATTGTGTAAACCCAATTGTTTATAAATAATCATTTATCATTAATAATTGAGTAAGCTGAATTACTACCTGAATATGATTTATATTATGACTTACCTGGGCTTTTAGTCCCATTTTATGTAGCTTTCATCCCTTGATAAATCTTTTCATTCCATTTTCCACCAGAAAAAGGCTAATGCCATGGGCAGGAGAGCGAGCTTCACGATCTGTGACCGCCACTACGATCACAACATCACTGAGCCACCCATTAGCGATGAACACCTGCAACACCCCGATATACTGTGATGCTCCACGGTAACTCAGGGCCATGTGCAAGGCACGACTGGGGGAAAGTACATTCAAGAACGCAAAATCAGAAAAGACGTGCTCCGTACCACCCTCTGTCCTCTATCCAAGTATTTTCAGAGTTCATTATCCACACACGAGGTTATTACAGAGCAGGGGAAATACCCAATGCTTCAAAGATGAAGCCTATACATTTTCTTTCCATTATTAATATTGTAAATAATAATAATCATTAACAGATGTTATGTTCTCTCAAATTAAAACAAAATTGTCTATAAAAATGATGAACTGTATTTTAGAAAGAAGCTGCAGATGAGAAAAAGGAATCTAAATCTATAGTGCTCTAAATGGCATTATACCATTAAAGTCTTTGTACTTTCAGATTTGACAGTGTTTGAAAAGGCATAGTTTTGATTTTCATGATAGTCGGCCTACTTCTTTCCAAATGGCCTAAATAAGGAAGATACTGATTAAGGAGGGATAAAACAACAAACTAAATAAGAGATATTAGATTATCAGGTAGTATTTATTCAGAAAACAAATATACTGAGAGCAAATATTATAATTATCTTCTCGTTCTGCATCTTTCCTTGGTCATCTTAACCACTTCCATGGCTTTACTTGCCATCCATAAGCCGATGACTCCCAACCTTTATCTAAGTCAAATTTCTTGCTAGCTTCCAGACCTGTATTATCAACCTGCTTCTAGGGCGTTCCAACTGATAACTCATGGGCAGAACATATTCCTTCCCACCTCTACTTCCATCTAATCCTGAATATTGACCTATTTTCCCTATCTCAATGAACGGCGCCAATAAATCGTGTTATCATACTGCTTTGTATTCAATTTGACATCTAGTTCTCTCTAAGCATTTCAACACTTTTTCAATCTATTCACTTCCTTTCACTTCCATGCCATATCTTATTTAGGGCCCTCATCGTTTCTTACTTAAGTTCCTACAACTGATCTTTCTGCAGCTCTACTATCCATCGTGATGTCAGAGAGATCTTTCTAAATGAAATCTGATCACACCACTTTCACATCTTAAAATCTGTGAATAGCTCCTCATAGGCTTTGGGATAAATTCTAAACCTTAGCACGGCATATAAAACTCATCACAAACTGGCACTAGCTTACCAGTCCCGCTACCTCTTGCCCCACTTTTCCCTCATTCCCCTTTCTCACATCAGCTCTACTGAATTACTTGCTGTCCCCCATATTCCAAGGTCGTCCTTACCTATGGGTCTTTGGAAATCTTGTTTCCTCTACTTGGGAGGCCCTTTTCCAACTCTGCTAGGATGAGTCCTACTCATCCTGGATGAAGTTCAGACAGCACCTCTTCCAAAAAGTCTTCCCAAAGTCCCCAGGCTGGGTTAAGTGCTCCCATAGCCCCTGAATTTACCATCATCTTAGTACTTATCAAATTGTATTCAAATGATCTATTTTTGTCTCTATCCCTTTGAAATAGTGGAGGTACAAAATGGTGTTGGTTACTCTCATCACCTAACACCCATGCCCTTTATGAGAAGATTTATGCTCTAAAATCCACAATGCTGACACTTACAAATAATGGGAAATGGGCCAACGATGTTAGAGTTGTCTACATGAGAAAAAATGAAGGCAGTAGTGGTGGCTTGGTTCTAAGTGACACGATAATAAAAGACCCTCAGCATCTCTCTGTCCCGGGAGCTCCTTGAGGGCAGCAGCTGTTTCCGAGCCACATATCTACCCTCAGTAATTAGAATAGCGTTTGGCAATAGGAGGCCTCAAGGATGTTTGTTGAATAAATGAGAAAACAAATTCCTCAAAAAAATTCTACACATCATGGTAAAAATATTTTTCTACAGTGTTACTACGTTATACCACTCCCTTGCTCAAAAACCCTCCAGGTCTCCCAATTTCTTTCCTTTCTAAGATGTTAATGACCATTTGTGTAGCTGTGTTGAATTCCTGAAATGGTGGGGTTTTTTTGTTTGTTTTCAATCACACAGCATCCAGGAATTAGTACTCATATGCTCTAAATCCACGGTCTCAGACATATATTAACTATAGGTAATAAACAATAGAATGGAAAGGAAGGAAGGAGCGGTCTATGGGGCCAAAATTGTTCACTTTAACACTCTGATCTCAATTTGGTAAGGCTGAATGGAGTTCTCCCACGGTTGTTCTTGGACATGATTATAGAAGAAGGTTAATAGATTCTGAATGATTTCTGCAATAGCCTGACCTAATGTGAGTATTTCCACCATAATCAATCTCTTTTTCCAACAAAGTTATAAGGTAATTCTCTTTGTAAGAGGACTTTCTTGATTTCTTTCCTAATTATAACAGTCAAAACTTTAATAGAGCTGGGATTATCCATACAGAGGGCCATCTTTCTTTTTTTTTGGTATTGAATGCCTATAACATAAGCTCACTGTAGCTGTTATATAGATAGCATATTCTTATAAAGAAAAAGGAAAAAAAAATCTTCTATGAGTCCATCATACAAATATCATTGTGAACTTCCTTTGTGGTCTTTTTAAATAAAGTTGAAATTATTCTATATTTACATTCTATATGGATTTTTCACTTACATGTTAATATGATCTTTTCACTTAATATAATTATTTTCCTATACCATTAAAAACTTTGTGTCGATGCTTTAATGGGTACATCTTATCTATGCACTATATTTACTTACTTACTCCTTTAAATTTTTTGTTATTTCTAATAGAGTTTTTGAAATAGAGCCAGTGGTACTTTCCTGGGTTGTTCCCATAGAAGACAGTGTGGAAATTAATAAAAGAAACCTTAACTAAATCAGAGTCAGAAAAGCCTGTAGCAGAGCTCTCCCACCCTATCACACATTGTCAACTACACCAAACAGGAAGAGACAGATGCTTGCATCTTTGACAAGAAGTAAAACTACCTTACAACTGAAGGAAGATTTTACTCCTTCACAGCAACAGCCCAGCCAATGAGAAAGGTCGCAGCCCAGGCAATGAGAAATGCCACAACCCAGCCAATGAGAAATGCTGCAGCTCAGCTAATGAGCAGCTGTTGCCCCCCCCACAACTGCTACTCTCTCCCAATGGACTTTCATTTAGCGCAGCCCCTCCCTCCCTCTTTTCTCTATAAAAGCAGCTTCCTTCTTTGTTTGCTGGATTTGCCTGGGTTCACCATAGCATGCACATTCTAAATTGCAATTCTTTTGGCTATTCCTGAATAAAGTCATTTTGAGGCTAAAACATGAGGCGAATTTGCTTTTTAAGTTGACAGCTGTAACTTAGCAGATTGGGCCTGCTTAGAAAGCTAAAATCATAGGAGAATATGTTTTCCATTTCACTTTTGACCAAATTTCCAACTCTTCTGTCATAATAAGCCCTGTGTGTGCAGAGTTTACTGATTATATATCAGAGCTGGCACTTGTTTATTATAATCCTTTGGATGAATAATTTAGACTAATATTTCTTAAAGCATATTTGAAAAACACCAGTGACTTATGGTAGTCTATAAAAAGAGAATTTCCTAGGGCATAAGACATACTGTATCCAACTTTTAGAGGTTCATAATGCATATCAGCACATCAAAGGGTGAGACAGGGTGCACATTTTCCAGATCAGTCTGATACCACAGATATTGTTTTTCTGTCTAGTAACTGTCAAACTAGATTACAGAATGGTCTTTAGAACTGGGCTGCTCAAAATGTGTTCCTCAGACTGACGTCAGTACACAAACTGCTATTAGTCCTTGACAGCATAAGTACAGAAATTGAGAGTGTTTAGAAAATTGTATAGCAGTTTGACAGTGCCACAACATTTAAGCTTATGATTTAGTAAATGCAAAGGAATTAATGTAAAACTAATTAGAAAATTTTTTAAAAATTTAAAAGAAAACAAACAAAAATTAGTCCTTCAGCAGGTCTTGAAATACATGTTTGGGAAGACTTCCTTAGTGTAGAAAATGAACATCTTTTCCTCACTTAACACTCAGTCAACAACAAATGTTGACTGAGTGTATACCAGACACAGTTTTAGGTTAAAAAAACCCTCTGCCATCACTGGATATTAGACTCTAAGGGATATACTTCTTCCTAAGCCTGTCTGTAACCTTAATTGGAGGGGACTTCTAATTGATGTGACTCTCAGAAGGACTGAAGGACTCTCAAATTCTATCAAAACTATCCTTTTCACCTAAGATCTTGTGAAACTCTTCTTGATACTTATGAGAAAGTCTTTTCCCCAGTTTCTCATCAACATCAAATTTATTAACCATTAACTATTGTTTGTCCCATATTTGGACAATGTGAGCCTTCCCTTCCCCTTTTCTGGTTTGATAAGGGCTGTGTGGAAGCTAAAAGAACATTTTCCGTATTAGTGAGGGAGCATGCAACATGGAAGAGGAACAGATCTCATGTAACAGAAATGTTGCAAAATTCTTACTGTCTCCAAAGCAAAACAACTCAATTCCTGTGTGAACTCAAATAAACTCAGTTCCTGCGTGAATCCCTAGATCTGAAAGAATCAGTGATGAGGAGTCTTTGAGACGCTGTCACCCATGGCATGACTGGAGGGAAGGGCGATGAAGCCCCTCATTACACACCTTGCTTCCATTGACAAGCCAGTCACTTCCATCCTTTCTGGCATTTGTTCTTACTCCTTGCAAATCACTGTAACTGAAAAAAAGGATGAAAAGTTAATTAATTGGTAAAAATTGAATTATGCAAATGTTGTTATGTAAGTACATATATAATGTGATAATTCAAGCAGGTTACACCATTGTAAAAGTAGATCTTTAACTAATATAGGAATGTTTACACAAATGCACTGAAAAATCATGTCTGATGTATTATATTCTAAAGTGCTTATACAAATGTATATTGATTAACATTACATAAACTAACCAGATTTTATAGAGCATAACAAGGTCCAACTAGCATTCAAGACCCCCTAATTGGACTCAGATGACATTTCATGGCCTAGTATATCCCTGAGGTCATTTGCCAGCATATACTAGCCTGCCTGTAGTCACCTTGGTCCCCTTCACCTATCTCTGTTGCTCAAAAGTTTAGATTTAAAAGACTATGTCTCAAATGCCACTTCTTCTATCAAGCCTGCTCTAAAAGTAGAATAGACTATTTTTCTAAATATAAAACAAATATTCATAATTAAAATATTAAAAGTACAGACAATATTCCAGATAAAGAAGAAAAATGATTTTACCTCCTGGAACGAACATTTAAAAAATACATCCTTCCAGTATTTTTCTTTCTTTTCCTTTTTGCTGAGGAAGATTCGCCTTGAGCTAACATCCATGCCAATCCTCCTCTACTTTATATGTGGGTTGCCACCACAGCATGGCTGACAAGTGGTGTAGGTCCGTATCCAGGATCTGAACCTGTGAACCTGGGCCGCCAAAGTGGAACATGCTGAACTTGACCACTATGCCATGGGGATAGCCCCTTCTAGTATTTTTCTATAGAAACAGATACACACTTATATGTATTTTTATAAAATTGGAACCATACGTATGATTTTGATCTCTTAATATCTAATGTTTTTCTATAAGATAATTTTTATTAGCAGCATAGAATTTCCTTGTATGGATTTATCATGCTTTTTAAAAACAATCTCCTATTGTTGAGCACTTAGGTAGCTTCGTATTTCCCTAAATATCCTACATTGACTAGATCATGTATAAATAGTCCCCATCATGTACTGCTGTGAGAGTTTCCTGATTCTTCTTCCCGTGTAGGTCTTTGTATTCTGTACCCCATGGCAGTCTGTTTACGGCTCTCTGTATCAGGCTGAATAAGGACCCTCAGAGACAGCAGGTGCTAATCCCCGGAACCCATCAGTGTGACCTTATACGGAAGAAGGGTCTTGCAGATGAAATTAATTTGACGATCTTGAGATGGGGAGATTATCTCGCATTATCTGGATGGGCCCTAAGTACAACCACAGATGTCCTTACGAGAGAGAGGCAGAGGGAGATTACATAGACCGAAGAAGAGCTGGAGCAAGGTGATCACGGAGGCAGAGACTGGAGTGATGAGGCCACACAGCAAGGGATGCTGGCAGCCAGCAGGAGGCGGGAGAGGCAAGGAATGGATTCTCCCCTTGAGCCTCTGGAGGGGGTCTGGCCCTTGGTTTGGGCCCATTGGTATTGATTTTGGACTTCTGGGCTTCGGAACTGTGAAAGAATAAATTTCCGTTGTTTTAAGCCACCGAGTTTGGGGTAATTTGTTACAGATGCCATAGGAAACTAACACACTCTCCTAGAGCATTTACCTTGAATTTCAGTTATTAATAAAAAAATCTCCTCTTTCCCACCCACCCCATTTATTAGACTCGAGTCTTTTGAGGAGATGGTGTATATCAAGATCACGTTTACGTGCCCCGCACCCAGCACAGTGCTTTGCACATTACAGCCACTCAGTAAACATTAGTTGAATTACATTGTTAAAAATGTCAAGTGTGCAGAAAAGAGTTAATACAGCAGGCTTCAAGCTGCTATCCTTGGAAAGGCCTGATTCCGAGTTTGGCTCCTGGCTGGTGTCTGTGAATTCGGATTTCAGGAGAGTTCTCACCGTTCCCAGAACGGGTGAGAGTGGCTCGCTGTGCCTAAACTGTTTGTGCCGACACTATGGCTTATGCTGAACGTCTGCTTTCCTTCCGGCAGCCTCAGCTCACGGTACACACTAGGCAGAAGGCGCCCGTGTGCCAGCCTCCAACAAAGCCCCGGGCCCTAAGTCCCTAAGAAGCCACCCTGGGAGACAGCATTGCACATGTTGTCACGACTCGCTGAAGGAAGCGAGCGGTGTTGTTGTCACGACTCGCTGAAGGAAGTGAGCGGTGCTGTGCGACTCCATCAGGCGCAGACTCTTGGAGGCTGCTCCTGGGTTTCTGTGGATTTCAGTCCACGAGGCTCTTCCTTTCACTGATTTTGTTTTGTGCCCTTTCACTGTAATAAATTATAGCTGTGAGTACGATCACATGCCGAATCCTGGGACTCCTCCTGACAAGTCACAGACCCTGGGATGGGAGTCTTGGGGACACCTGACATTAGAAACAAGGCCACCTATTTGAGAGGATAAGTTAAATGACAAAAATCTGTGAGTCATTCTGTAGCCTGGTTTTCAGCAAAAGGATGGATGCTTACAGGGAACATATTAAAGCTGCACGCTGTTGTATTCTTTTTTTTTTTTTTAAAGTATCTGAGTTGTTTTTTTACACTTTTTAATTTTTTTGGTGAGGAAGATTGGCCCTGAGCTAACATCTGTTGCCAATCTTCCTCTTTTTTTTTTTTTTTTCTGAAGCCCCAGTACATAGTTACATATCCTAGTTGTAAGTCCTAGTTGTTCTATGTGGGATGTTGCCTCAGTGAGGCTTGATGAGTGGTGTGTAGGTCCATACCCAGGATCTGAACCGGCAAACCCCAGGCCACCAAAGTGGAGCACATGAACTTAACCACTCAGCCACAGGGCTGACCTTAGTTGTATTCTAGCATCATAATTTTCATCATAAATCAGTATGAAGTATCAGTTTACTAAAATCTGTATATGGTTTATTAAAATAATTCTTCTATACAAGGACATATCAAAGGTAACAAAGGTAAGGACTAGCTCAGTTTGTTGATTTTAAAAAAAACTTTTGAATGATAAATATGAAACAATAAAAATGGCTTTAAAATATACCAGTTAGTGTTGCCAAGAATTCAGACTCTCCCAATAATCCCATTTAAGTAAGCATCATTTTCTCCATTTCACTGATACAGACACTGAGGCTCAGAGATTGTGCCCATGATCACACCGCTGGTGTCAGAGCATCAATCTGCTCTATGAGCTTGGTTAAAATATTTTATTTGTCATTTTCTGTTTTCTCCTTACATAGGGATCACAATATCTCTATATTTCCTACAGGTTATTGGGAGGGCCAAATAAGACAATCAGCTTGAAAGCATATAAAATGTTCCAGGATCGTGCAAATGTACATAAGTGTACATAAAGGAGTCTCCTGTGTATATGGAAGGCAAGGGGCGGTGAAGCCCTGGGTCTTTTCCAGCGAACTCAACCTCCTTCTGTGAAAGCCAGATCAAAGCGAGGACACAGCGAGCAGCCGCGCCACCTCTGACAGTCCCCTCTTCTGTATTCTCTCCCTCCCACGTGCTTTCTCTAGACTTCTCACCTTACCCCTCAACACTCTAACCCTCTCCTTCGCGGCGGCTTTCTCCACTTTCGCTGTCTCTTACCCACACGGCCCCTTGGCTGGTCTCTCTAAACATCAGACTGATCTGCTATCCTTCCACTACTCGCACCAGACTTCCAAACAATCCGCCTCTTTTCTCCATCCTCATCCTCAGCGTCCTTCTTAATTTCGTGTTCCTAACCACAGATGAGGACAGAGAATTTAAATAAGCTAAAATCAAGCAAGCCTCTGTAGTGGAAGTTGGAGATAAATCAAGATCTCTCATTTATTCTGTTGCCTCTAGATGAGAGGTAACATGAAGTGGGTTGGAACTGGAACACGCTGATCAGAGAGCTAATGTGATGTGATCAGAATATTGGGCAGTCAGCCAGTTATCTTAAGAGAGTTATCTTAAAAGCAAAGGAAGAAGATTAAATTCCTACTTCTTTCAGGTCACATTTTTAGGCAACAGAAATAAACAAAGGCAGATATTTTTGCAAAATTAAGTATCAGTATTCGCCTGTAATTACAGATTTATATCTGGGAAAGATAAATACAATTCAAGCATATTGCCAAGTGACACTATAGAATATTAAGACATTTAAAAATAAACTTCGGTGTCAAAAAAGAACATTTAAATCATTAGGGCCTGATCTTTGCAGAAACAAGTCTTGGACTTTCAATTACCGCCTCTGCCACGTCCTCAGGTCCTTCCTCTGCAGCCTCTGCCCCACTGGCCTGCAGGTCACTGCTCTCTTTACCTAAACCATTTTCCTTACCGCGCTTGCCTGTTAAACTACCGCCCCCTCTACACTGCCTTTCACCTCCCAACTCTGGAGAAGATCAGCCTGTGTTCTCAATACCATCTCACTGCCTTCCGAAGCAGCTTCCGCTCCTCCTCTCCACTGAAGTCCGGATCAAAGGATCACCAGTGGCCTGCCGTGACCTTTTCTCAAGTCTCAACCTCTCTGTGGCCTTCACATTACCAACTTCTCACTCCTGTCCTATCGCCTTTTCAAACTCACTTCCCCTCAGGCTCGTGACAGCACTTGTCGAGATTTCCTTCAAACTCAATCCTTCTGTCTCTGTTGCTGCATCCTGTGCAGCTCCAAATGAAACAGGACACCCAGGTCTCCTCCTCGGTCTCCTTTCCATCCTTTCACTTCACCGCACGAGGATCAGGTCCCACCGTGTGGAAGCTCTTCACCCCATCCTTCCATAACTGGTTCCTTCTCATCTGTCAGATCTCAGCTTAAATATCACCACTTTTCAGAGGTCTTCCCTAGTGCTTCTATCTAAATTCGCTTTTTCTTTCCCCACCAAACACACATGTACCATTAGTCTCTGGCATAGCACTTAGTTTCCTTCACAGTACCTATGACAATTTATAATTATGAACATATTCATTTGTTTCTTGTCATTCTCTTCAATAAGTACAGGGCCCACAGCTGTTTTGTTCGCCACTGTATACCTGGTACACTGAAGGCACTTACTAAGAACCGTCAAACGACTGAATACATGATCATATTCATTCCCGTTGCTTCAGTTCTTGCTTATACATGAATGGCTTTTCAAACCTCTTGCCCCTACAGTCTGTCTCCAGAGTTCCAAATCCATATTTTTAACAGACTGCTGGACATTTCCATATGAATGTCACACCACATCTGAAATTCATCTGCCCAAAATTCAACCCATATCCTATCATTTATTTTTGTTACATTGTGTTAATATCTCAGCTTTGTATAAAGCAAGTACTGGGAAAATATTTGCTGTTAAAGCATTGCTTCCAAGACCTCAAAACCAATTGAACGTTGAGTTACCCTCCAGCCTGGGCTCTCTCACTGCCACGGCACCAGTGCATCTCCCTGCCATCACCAGGGGTACATGCTTCATCTGTTCTTCCGAGACGTGGTTTGCAATACAGGGCATGACAATATCCGAATGAAGACTAAAACCTGGGCCTGCCCAACTCGAATATGAAAAAAAGAAGAAAATTTAAAGCACAAAATAGCTGTTTTGTTCTATTTTTAGTCTCTTTGGTTTCCAATTAAAAAAACAACAAAATATTAAAGATCTTATCACATTGTGAGGTAATAGCCTGTCTCCCCGAAACCTTTTGTTTTTACTACTCTTTTAATTTATGGCTCTAACATAAGAGTACTCTAACAGAACTCAACGAACACTTATTTAGTGAATTAAAAGATGGAACATTTAAAAACATTAATCACCTACAACTGTATTATCCCAACACAGCAACTATTTTCATTCTGACAAATTACCTTTGCCATAAGGATATATTCCAATACAGCTGCAGTCATGGTGTAAATGTTGTACTTAACTGTTTTCTTTTTAAATTATACGACACGAAAAATCTTATTTTTTTAATCACAGTTGTCACAATAATATTCTTAAATAACTGCAAAATATTACAAATTGCTTATGTACCATAATTTACTTAGTCATTCTCCCACTGCCAGATATTTAGATTACTTCCAAATTTGGGGGATTATTCCCCAAAGTGGCATCCTAGATCAAAGAGCAGTCCTATTTTCACATTTTGTATGTATCCATATTTTTAATCCTCAAAGTATTTACTGTTCTAATTTATAATGCTGCAAATAGTATATGAGTACGTTATTTTCCCAGCAACCTTGTCAGCACGGGGTATTATGATCTTTCATTTTCACTCACTTTTGTAGATACCCACAATGATACCACCAGGTAGTAGGGATGAACTTTTTTCATCTAAAAAAAGTCTATTTGCATTCTTTTTTGATGAACTGGTTCAAATCTTTTGCCCACTTATCAAGTGAAATCTTTCTTTGCTATCATATATAAAACTTTTGGTATATTTGACAGTAATATTTTTCTACTCTGCTGTTCTCTTTCAAATTTCTTTTTAAAGGAGGAAAAATAACCAAATAGGTCAATTAGAAATGAAGCTATCTCTTTAATTTTCAACAGCACCTATTTTAACAACTTAAAAAGAGATTTTCCTATCTTCCTACATTCAAAAATGTGCAAGAGTACAGGGTGGCATAATCTTTCATGTCTTACAGTGAAGTTCCAATCTTATATGAAGATTAGAAAACATCGTTTTCATGATTTTAGAACAGTGAGCAGTGTGCTTACAAACAAGACTCAGCTTCAAATGTCCCCACACTCACTGCTCCCCACAGACCACAGCTGCCAAGCACCAGGCTCCCAGTGCTATCGCGATTCACTGGGCTGCATGGTGACACTGAGCAGGCCTTGTGTCCTAGCTTTTCCCAAGCTCCCTACTCACCTCTCCAGCTTCCTCCCATCTGCAAATAACAAACATTGTAAAATTACAAAAACATTTTTTTGTATTATTTAAATGGTGACAATTTGAATTTATGAATGATTTTGTGCAGGAATGCTCCCTTAATTTAAGGTAACTATTGTTGACATTTGGCCATACCCTTCTACCTGCATGATTCTTTTACCATTTCTCCTCCTTGTTCTCCTCCTAACCTCTTCATAGTTGCCGCTTTCTTTCCCTGCCCCTGCTCTTGACTACTTGCTGGACCTGCAAATCGCACCCAGTGATATTCATGGGTGTAGGTTCTCTCAGCTGGTAGTCTTAGTTGTGCCACACAGCCGTGGGAATTTGCCCAAACTGTCCTGTAAAGGCAACTGCCCTCTGCATGTTTCCTTAAACTGCTGAACTAATGGGACGAGCATATATGACAGCTGACAAGAATGGGCAACCTCATCACAGTTTAAGTAGAAACCACAGAAGAGCAGAAGCACCTTACAGCATGGCTCCATCAAACGAACTTCTGAAAAAACTAGATATTTTAGTAGGATTGTGCAACCTCTGCTTTTCTCCTTTAAAAATGAAAATGAGGAAAGAAATGGCTAGCTGGAGACAGGTAAACAATCTGAGAATTTTTGTTTTATCTTTTTAAGTGGTAATTAGACATGGTTAGTAAGATATAGGGTATTTGAAGATACTGATTAAAGGTAAATACAGAGACCTCAGGAAATTTTAAAAGAAAGCTTGACTCCTGTGTTGCTTTGGTATGTTTTGTGTATTGCCTAAAGTAACTTTGGAACTATTTTATTGTCAACCTCAAATTTGTCAACTTCTATTATTTTTACTTCAAGTCTTCATCAACAATTTTTCTGGAACAAAATTTAAAATCAGTAAAGAAATAAACAAAAATTCTCCTAGAGTGAAGTAAACTACATTTCTTTTGTCTTTAAGAAGCTGGTTGCTTTTTACCTAAGATTAGTTATGTACGGCATCAGAGTTTAGCTAGTTTTGGTTATTCTTACCAAGAAAGTATTAATAAAAACTTATGAAAGCTCTTTTTAAGTAATATTTTAAAAAACCATTCTAATTGTAGTAAAGTACTGGCACTGAGTAAATTTTGGAAACATAGCAAAATCCTACTTTAATAGAAATCACAGTTTTTGGATCAGTAAAGTATGTAATCAGTAATTACTTAATCAATCAATATCTCGCCCAGTAATAAAAATACTTTGAGGTAGCCAATTGCCTACCAAGATTTGCATTATGCTGGCCTTTTTGAGCTTTTATGCATTTTAAGTCATTCATAAAGTAGAAAACAAAGAATATGAAATTGACCAATATTTTGTGGCCACTTAACCAGAGCTTTCAAAAATACCTTTCTTAGATTGAGTTGCAAATTTCCAAATTTTCTTTCTTTTTAATTGAGGTATAATTGATATATAATATTATATTAGCTTCAGGTGTACAACACAATGATTTGATATGTGTATATATTGTGAAATGATCCCCACAATAAGTTTAGTTAACATCCATCCCCATATATAGTTAGAAAATTTTTTTTCTTGTGATGAGGACTTTTAAGATCTACTCTTGGGCCGGCCTGGCGGCGGAGTGGTTAAGTTCACGCACTCTATTTCGGGGGCCCAGGGTTTCACTGGTTCGGATCCTGGGCGCAGACATGGCACTACTCATCAGGCCATGCTGAGGCGGTGTCCTACATGCCACAAATAGAAGGACCCACAACTAGAATATGCAACTATGTACTGGTGGGCTTTGGGGAGAAACAAGGAAAAAAATAAAATCTTTAAAAAAAAAAATCTACTCTCAGCAACATTCAAATATGCGATACAGAATTAACTATAGTCACCATGCTGTACACTACATCTCCAGGATTTATTTATTTTAAATGGAAATTTGTACCTTTTGATCTCCTTCTTATTTTTGAATTATCTATTTTAAAATTCACTTATAAACCTTTGAACCTTTCAATAAGCTTGAGTCCCCTAATATCACTGTATTATACTGAAGAGCAGTAAGAATGTTTATAAAACACTAAACACAGTAACTTTTCTGCAGAACACACAGCATTCTAGGAAATGGCCCTTATTGTACTGATACCGACCCTGATATCAGTTTCCCTACATTAAACCCAGCATATATGAGTTAAAAGCAAAGCACTCATTCCCTGCTTACTCCTTGGCTTCCTGGCTTCAGAATCCACTATCCTCCATGGAGACAGACACAGCCAAGGACAAGCACCTGAATTCACTGTTTCTTCCCTGCAAAGAGATACGGGCTGGTGGGAAAGCTGCTGACCAGCAAGGTCATGGGCTCCTTCCTCTCTGCAAGTGTCTCAAGGCCAAACACAGGCTGGTGGGAAAGCTCTGACCAGCAAGGTCATATGCTCCCCCTCCCCTACCTAAAACCCCAAATAAAAGTCCTTCCTTTTAGCTTTTTGGGGAATTTTGGGATTTCAGTGTTAGCTGCCCTCTCTCCTGGCTCAGTGCTGTGCAATAATAAAGTCCTACTTTCTTCCACTACACCCGGTGTCAGAGATTGGCTTGCTGCACAATGTGTGAGCAAACTCACTTCAAGTTCGATATCAGTACCCCTACTGTATATTAAAGGAAAATGTCCACTTACTCTGCGTGACGAGGAATCAATTCTTCTTGAAAAAACTTCCTTACACTTTCCCAGAAAATGTCATGCTCTGAAGAGAAGATTCTTCTAATTCCTATATCTGTTAATTTTTTAGCAGAAGGAGTTTCTGGACGTTCCTTCCCTCTGGAATGAGAACATCTTAAAAATATATATATGTTAAGAAAATTAAGTGAATTGTTACTCTTCATATCCAAACTAATGTCACTGAACAACATGGAAAAACCCTGATTTTTTTTCCCCAGAGACACTTTAGAGGCAGGCAGAAAGAGCCTGAAATTTGACAAACCTGTTCAGATTTGGGCACCACTTTTGATAGGATGTACCTCACCTAGATAAGATTAAGAAGCAGTTGACCCTTATTCAACTCACTCTTCACTTCCAAATCCATAAAGAGGACATCATGCCAGAACTAACCACATGTTTGAGTTGAGGAAAAACAGTGTTGTCACTTGATGTGGATTAAACTATGCAAAGTTCAAATATTACAATCAAACAATACTGATAAGTTTTCATGTCATGTACAATGTTTAAGATAATGCAAACTCCCCCAAATTAATATTCTATCCAGAATCACACAGTTGCAAATGGCAGGTGTGTAAGATATAAACCATGTTGATGTTCTTGCTATATTACAGAGCCAAGCTGGCTGTCAGTCAAAATCAGAATGCCCACCAATCTCTGCAAGCGTTAGTAGAGAATTATTCAAGACCTTCAGAAGCTGACTCTTCCCTCCCCTGCCCCTACACTGAGCTTAAACTGAGACTGCTATGCAGTCCTTTAGTTCAATGCTCTTCAGATTTTTCCCCCTGGGGTACTCTTGAAAAGATTTTGCAAATCTGTGTACCACTTTGCACATTTTCATGCTCACATCCAAAAAATTTTTTTTTTAATTCTTTTTTTTACTGCAGTAACAGTGGTTTATAATATTATATAAATTTCAGGTGTACATCGTTATATATTTCGATTTCTGTGTAGATTATATCATGTTCACCACCCAAAGACTAATTACAATCCATCACCACACACGTGTCTAATCACTCCTCTTGCCCTCCTCCCTCCCCCCTTTCCCTCTGTTAACCACCCAAAACCTTTTTATCATACATTCAAATATTGCCAATGGATGTTTTTCTGTTTTGCATGAAATCCTGTTTGGGTTTCTCTCTTCCTTAGTTGGACCATGCTATTTTTCTCTTTTTTTCTTTTTCAGTCTTTGTCCAGAAGATTTAGCCTTATTTATTAGCAACTAGGTTGTTTCAATCTTTTTTTCCCCCTGAAATGGATTATCTTGTTCTAGTTTATGTATTTTTGCTTGATGCTGTGGACTGAATTGTGTCCCCCAAATTCATACATTGAAGCTCTAACTCCCAGTGTGATTGTACTTGGAGATAGGGTTGTGAGGAGGTAATCACAGTTAAATGGGATCATAAGGGTGGGGTCCTAATCTGGGAGGATTGGTGGCTTCATAAGAAGGAGAGAGATGTCTCTGCGCACAAGCACCAAAGAAAGGCCACATGAGGACACAGGGAGAAGGCAGCCATCTACAAGCCAGGATGCAAGCTCACCAGGAACTGAACTGGCCCACACCTTGATCTTGGACTATCCAGCCTCTAGAATGATGAGAAAGACATCTCTGTAGTTTAAACCACACAGTGCATGGCATTTTGTTACGGCAGCTGGAGCTAATACACTTATTATACATTTTGTGTCATTTGGCTTTAGGTTTATTTTTTATTTGCAACTTTTAGTTGAGTTTTATTTAACACAATCTGAGATGTCTCTGAAGTGGTAACCTTTAGTTGCGAACATTTAATACTACAGTTTTTATACTGGGACTGCCGTTTGTCTTCAGAAACATTTTCCTGGTTGCTACTCTTAATCCAAATCATCCTCTTTAGTGGCTTCTTCATTCACTGAGTCAATAAGTACTTTCTGAGTGCCTATTACGTACCAGCCCCTGTTCAGGTCACCTGGGATACACCAGTGAGCAAAACAAAGATCTCCATCTTCAGGCTGACATTCCAGAAGGGGAGACTGAATAATACCAAATGATAAATAAAGAAGCACATTATATAATAACTTAGAAGGGGATATGCGCTACGGAGAAGAACAGGAGAGCAGGCATCAGAGCGCACGTCTGGGACAAGGCGAGGACAGAGGCTGCAGTACGAAGTGGTGCAGTCAGGGTGGGTTAGCTAGAAAAATGAGATTTGAACAAATGCTTAAAGATGACAGAGTTAACCAAGCAGATTTCCAGAGTAAAGGAATTCTAGGATGGGAATACCAGTAGAGCAAAGGCTGTATGCAGGATGGTATCTGACGTGTTCTAGAGAGAGCAAGGAGGCCAAGTGTGGATGGAGCGAATTGAGCAATGAGAAGAGTAGCAGATGCGGTCAGAGGTAACAGGAAACCAGGACATGCAGGGGCCTTGCAGACCACTGCAATGTCACATCAAACAGACTAAAATTTACTTTATCCCATAACTGAAGCGTTTGGTTCCAACTTCTTGCTCACAGAAATAAAACTATAATGCACACATGTGTCCATACAGCTTTTCCATACTTGCAACTTTTCCTTAGGGAAAAAAGTGTGCTGAGACTAGAAAACTGGGGCTCTAAGACACTAAAGCATTTGTCAAAACAGTAAATAATAGAGCAGAAGTTACATTCAAGTCTGCCTGCATCTTAAAATTTTATATGCCATGTTAAGGGAACTTTCAGAATATTTCTAAGTAAAATACACCAAGACACAGGAAAGTGAAAGAAGTGCTAGAAAGACTTTCAGGTGAGCCAAAGGTGTTCAAGAGAGAACATGCAGAGGGAAGAAAATCGGGACACTTGACAGCAAGTTTGCTGGAACACCCATTTCTTACTTTAAAGACCAAAGGAACCTATACTGAATAAATTGGCCCTTTTCCTCTACACAGACCAGGAAATCTGTCCTGAATAAATTGTCTGCTGTTTCCTAAGGCAATAAACTGCTACTAATCTAACAGGCTAGGTTTTAATTATTACTATTATTTTTAAGTCTCATTTACATTATAAAAGGGAGACAGTCTCCACCAGCACCTCCAGCAATACTTGGAGACTGGTTATAAATACCCAATCTCGGCCCTCACCCCAGACCTACTGAACCAGAATCTGTATTTTAACATCCTTAAGTGATTCACACGCACACTAAAGTTTAAGAACCATTATAATAAAACTATAGCCCCTGACCTATTCAGAGGGACCCTCAGGTCTTCCTTTTTCCAACATTCTCTGTATGAGAGTAGATTTTCTTCCTGATAAATAAAGGAAAAGCAATAGGATATACTGGAGCATGTGAGGAAGCCATTTGGTTTAAATCTAATTCAGCCTGACCTTGTTTTCCCAAAAGGGCCTGAAGTGGCCTGCTGAGCATGCACTGTACACCTGCTTTAAATATTTACTATGCCCCAAAGATGAGAATGATGCCCTTAAAGACAGAGATGTAGCTTCCTCCATATCAGCATTTCTTTAAAGATAAGCATCTCTTTCTGGGAAGTAAGGCTTAATTACTGACCTGCTGTGCTCCCCTTGTGACCACTGACCTGCTGACCACCGACTTGCTGTGGCAGCTAAACCTCTCCTGACAGTAGTAAAGGAGATATTCTTGTCACGAGAGATGAAAGCTCTTTGTTCCAAGACGGTATACAACCACGCTGGACACCCCACTATTTGGTGCTCTTCCTTCCTTGGGGAAAACAGACCCAGGGTTATAGTCCTTCGACCTGGCTCCTAATAAACTCACCCCAATTTTGATTTATAGACTGATTATGGGTTATTTGCCTCAACAAGCGTTTGTCAATGAACCGCCAGTTAACGTGCCTGCCTGACGGGTCTCTCCTGGCCTCACCATCCTCTCTGGGCACTGCCGGGGCTCCCTCCAGTCCACCGGGCGGCGGTAGCCCCTCCCGGCTCTCCGCCTCCAGCCGACCGATGCCACGCTCCCCACGCCGCACCCGCCGCCGCCCTGCTCTGCACAGACGGCCCGGCCCGCGGGGAGCGGGCGGCGACGCTGCGGCTCCCCTGCCACGCGGTCCCGGCTCCCACGTCCAGCCCGAGGCCGCAGGCCCGCAGCGCGCCGCGTCCCGGGAGGCCGTGGGGAGGGAGGGAGCCGCCGCGCGCCGCGTCCCGGGAGGCCGTGGGGAGGGAGGGAGCCGCCGCGCGCCGCGTCCCGGGAGGCCGTGGGGAGGGAGGGGGCCCACCGCGCGCCGCGCCCCCGGGAGGCCGTGGGAGGGAGGGGGCCCACCGCGCGCCGCGCCCCCGGGAGGCCGTGGGGAGGGAGGGAGCCGCCGCGCCCCGGGAGGCCGTGGGGAGGGAGGGGGCCCGCCGCGCGCCGCGCCCCCGGGAGGCCGTGGGGAGGGAGGGGGCCGCCGGCCCGCGGGCGCAGGCAGCCGCGGAGGAGGCGCGCGGCCTTGACGGGGGCGGGACGGCCGCGACTCCTCGGTGACCCGCCGGGCGGCCGAGCTGTCTGCCTGCCTTCCGTCCGGCCGCCGACAGCGCCGGGAGCCTAGCCTCACAGTGGGCGGCGACACGGCCCGCGGGCGTCCTATCGCCCGGGAGACTCTCCCAGCAGAGCGGTGACTGCCGCAGCGTCTTCCTTGTCTAAGCAGCTCTTTCCGGAGCCGCGGTGAGAAGCGGCTGTGAGCCATGGAGCCTCACAATGGACCCGAACACAAGCCCCGAGAAAGTAAGGTGAACAATCGGGAACTGCTTGACTTCACACGGACAACTACACGAACACTGTTGCCAAAGAACTGTGCCGTTATCATTCTTGTCTTGCAAAAATTGGTGTCCACTTCCTGGAAAAAAAAGATTAAAATATATTTTAAAACTTCAGTTCTCCAATAGTACTTCATTTGAATTGTCTGGCCATTTCCTGTTTCCTCATTCATCAAGTACTGTTTTATAATCCACATTTCAACCGGATGAAGTCTGAGGTATTGAAATTCATGGATTTGGTGTTTTGGTGAAAGGAAATGTCTGAAGGTTTTTTGAGCTTTACGGTAAGTCTACAGAGCGCACTTCTGCAGACGTGACGGCGTTATAACTGGAGGAGAGTTATCTAGGGCCTGAAATGATGCAAGTGAGAAAGACACATTTTGTGTTAGAAATGAAGAACTGTAATCCTGGGCCCATTTAGAGCCAGTTTGAACAGACCTCCATCCCTGATCAACAAAAATGATTAAGGATTGTCTTTCAGAAGAAATCTTGACCTGAAATGACCTCAGAACCAAAGATGCCCTTCCCACAGGACTAGGGCAGGACTACAACTTGAAAGCCGGACTCTTATCAGAAGTGAGGGATGCCACATTCAGGAAGATCCGGTGTTACAATTCTTTCTCCACCACGTGCTTAGAACCCTATCATAAATATTCAGAACCTCGCCATTAATGCCTGAAGCCCACCAATCAAAATCTGCCCCGCCAGTGTTTCCCTGTGCCAGTCTGTTCTCCCTAACCTCTTAAATTTCCTCCCAAATCCTGAATCGGGGAGACAGATCTGAGGGCACACGCCCCATGTCACCCTGGAGATCAATCTGGCAGAATAAAAAGCTGATTTCTGCCCTCAAAGGCTGGTGCCGTAATTAATTAGCTTGTTTATGTGCATCGGGCAGAGAACCCCAATTTTGGGTGGCAACAGAACTAAAAACAATGCTGAAAATAAAAAAGAAGCTTAAAAAAGTTTCATTCCAAAAAGAAGCATGTGAATAATGTTAGTTGGCAGTGGGAGCATACGGCTCCATGCGGGCTTGCTAGAATTCTGGACTTGCTGGCTGACGGTCTGACCTACCTGGACCAGTAGGAGTCTGTGCCAGGGTATTTACTAGCTTCATGGGACCAAACTCTTGGTTTTTCAAGATGATAATTAGCTGATCAAGTAACCTGCTAGTATGGGGCAATGAGAGACCCTTCTCTGAGTGGTCTCCCTGAGCCTTTGAAAAATGAGGATGATGATAAGACACTATCTCTGTGGTGGGTGTGTCTGAGGTCACTCCAGCAGCAGCACGTGCTGAATCAGAAGGTCTAATGATGAGGTCTAGGATTCTGTATAGTTAACACAACTGATTTTTTTTCAGTCTTAATTCAGTTTATTTTTCTTGTATAAAAACACTATGTGGTGGCTACAGCTAGAACCTGGATCTTCTGCATAGAGACTCTGCTGTGGGTCTTTACTAGAAGGTCAGTAAACTTCTGACACGGAGACTTTGCACACACGGTCTCTTTCTAGGGGTGGTGGGATGAGATACCTGTGGATCTTGGAGATGCCAGCAAATGTGACCTTGACAAAGTGCCTAGGGTGGCAGCACAGCCTCTGGCCTCAGTGTAGCAGTTGTCCATACTGGTCAACCTCAGCACCTTCATGAGCCCAGGGGCCCAGATGATGCTAGTGCTTCTGGGGGTATTAATGAGGCACACCAGCACAGAGACGCAGAGGCCTGTTACCTTGCGAGAGATGATGTGGGGCTTGCCAATCTTGATCCCCCAGTGGCCTCGCCACCCTGTATCTATGGAAATGTAGGCCAGCACCATGGCCCTGTGTCTGGCGACAGCTGCCTCCTTGAAGCACTTAACACCCAGACCGACATAGCTGTTGTAGTCCCTGATGGCGACAAATGCCTTGAACTTGGTCCACCGGCCAGTGCAGGTTAGCTTTTGCAGGGGCCTATTCTTCAAAACCCCGCCTTTGAGAGCTGCCTCCAGAGAAAGGTCAATGGGCTCAGACTCCTTGACAGGGAGAAGAGATAGAACTCCTCCAAGAACTTTGTCTCATGTCCTGATCAGGGGGCCCAGCTTAGTGATGAGGAGCCACTTCTTCCCCTTGGCCTTGCCTCAGCAAGCTCCTTGACCTTGACCTCTGCCCCGACCATGGCCATGACCTGGGCCAGGACGCTGTTGCTGCACCTCCGCATATAACACTCTGTAAGTGTTAGCTGATTTTCTTCTCGTCCACTCACATACTCACAAGCCTTTGCAGGCGATGATGACTTTTAGTAATGGCTTTTTATAATCAATTTGACAAAAATTAGATTTTTTTGTAATTCATGACAGAATTGGTACATAAGTAATGTGATGTCCCTCTCAGTATGTTGCATCAGAATGTCCCTGATGCTGCTTTGTCCCATACTTGGTGAGGTTAATTTGAAACACCTTAATTTTAATTTCTTTATTTGGTTAAGATGGTGTCAACCAGGTTTCTCTGTTGTAAAGTTACTACGTTTCCTCTTGTGAAATAAGAACAAATATGCTTCTGAGCACAGAGTGATTTGGGCTAAAATGAAACGAAAGGGTAAACAAACTACCCAGATAATTTAGGCAAATCACCCAATGTTTCATGAACCCTTTCCCTATATATCTTCCTGGCAGGAATAAGTCACGTCTTTCACCCAAGAGTTCTACAAGCCATGCTTTTACTAACTGAAATGTCTATTAGGGTCAGAGTTGTCAGGGAACATTCCAGTTAGTGCATATACCTTGAACCTGGATCTTTAGGAGTTAGCAGAAGGGAAAGAAAGATCAGGACACTAAGTGAGCGTGGAACAAAATTAGGAAAGGCTTATAGAAAGGAAGGAAGGAAGGACAACAAGAAAGCCAATCTAACTGGAGGATGTATGTTGGGAGGAAGTAGAAATTCAGGTTCAGTAGCGAGGTAGCGCCTGGGAGGCACCCGCGACACAGGGCTGAGTGCACAGATTTAGGGGTGAGACTACCTAAGTTTGCCTCCCGACTCTGCTCCTCACCACTTGTCTATTGTCGTTGTCCGGATTAAGGTGCAGGTGCTGGTAGAGAATGTGGCGCAGGGGTTGCTGCATTGTAACTATTCAGTGATTGTTGGCCAGTACTTCTATTATTATTGAATATCACACCAAGAAATTTAAATTTGAAGTGGTAGGAGATAAAGAGTCCCCAAAGCCTGGGAGAGTGAAATTCATTCAGTTATTCATTTATTCTCTTGCTCAAAAAATACTTATTGAGTTCCTCCTAAAGCTGAGGGCACAATGTTGTACGAGATAAAGTCTGTCCTTTGAAAGAGCTTGAAATACAGTTATGAAAATTAGACTGCCCAAGATGATTTGAAATACAAGACAGGGTGTGATAAGTGAAGGAGCGAGGTAACAGTACCACGTAGGGAGCTGACACTGTGGGGGGGCCTACTTGGTTTGCTTCTTTCCCCCCTTTATTTTTACAGCACAGTGGAAAAACATGAGTGACAGCATTTGACAGATTGGACATCTCAAGGTGGGAAATCTTGCTCTGAATGACTTCATCTCTCCATGTCTCTGTTTCCTTATTTGTGAAATGGAGATATTAATAGTATCTACCTCACAGGATTGTTTTGTGGCTAAAGCAAGACAAGATATGTAAAGCATCCAGGCTGGCAGCAGTCAGAGCCCAGTACATAGTTACATTACTGTCTTCCTTACCTTAGTTCTTCTGAGCTGCTGTGCTCTTCCCAAGTCGCCAGAGCAACAAACAAAACCCACGGAACCTGACCCTTCCTTCTGACTGAGTCAGCTGTCATTCATTTGGAAAGGATTTGCAGCAGCTGCTCCTTCTAGTTGTCAATATTTAGACCAATATCTTCACTGGACACTGTAGATAATCCTTGTGTTGTGGCCCGATCCCTGGGTGAGCAAGGGGTACTCCGTTTATTTCTTTCAGTTGCTGGTTCTCCCAATTTTGGAAAAAGAGAGAGAATGGCAAAGCCCCCTTTACTAGTCAACACTTTGAAAGTGTTGTAATCAGTTTGTAATCAACACGAGGGATTTTTAAAGCTAATACTACAACAAGCTAAGGTACGAAAGTTTCATTTGTCCAGATTCTAAAACTGAGTAATAATTCTGGCTACATGTTCTGGTCTGGTAGAAGCAACTGCTGAGAATGTGAGTCTTTAAACTTTCTTCACCTTTGGGGGAGCAAAGTGTTCACTCTTCATAGGAGAATGCGAGATTCCAGACCGTGACGGCACAGAGGGGCTGTCCAGCTCCTCAGAAGCTTTAAACTTCATTTAGCTGTGATGACAAATACGCAGTGTCACGGGGCCGCCTGTCAGACAGCAGGAAAGTTCAGGAAAGTGGAACCAAGAAGTTAAGAGATTATTTCATAATTAAAACAGAAGCAAGGGGAAGTGCACCAAGGGCTCAGCTGGAGTCTGCCTGGTGCTGGGGAAATGCCCTGGCTTGCCTGAGTCTTCTGCGGGCACTTTGTACACAGGCTGACTGCAGCAGGCCAGCTAGTAGGGGCATGGACTTAGCAGGTGCAGCATAAATTCTCTGAACCTCCACTTACTCACCTGTAAACAAAGAACGACAGTACCTATATCATGGGTGTTGGGAGGACTTTTCAGATAATGGGGATCAAGTGGTTAGAACAATGACAGGATTATAATAAGCACTCAGTAAATGGTAATTATTATTGTCATCATTGAGAAGTATCTGTGTTTTGGAGTACAAAAAAGGCAGAGCAACTCCTAAAAACACTTTTTAAAAAAACTCGAAGTTCAAAGAAGAAAAAAAAATTACCCCAGTTCTCCAATTGAAATGTAAAATTCCTTAACCCTTGGAGTGTGAGAAGGAAACAACAGCCCCTCCCCGCATATAGCTCTTCCTCTCTGACTCTTCTAGTGCTTATTTGATATTACACAAAGATACACATCTTGTATGTGTAAAAGCTGGAGTCTGTGTGTGCCATGCCTCTTAGAGGGGAGGGGCTTTAGGATGAGGCTGCTCAGTGCTTCTGCTCTGACACCTGTGAGTCCATGTCGTGGTCCACGTGGTCCTTTCCTAGACTGAGGAAAATGCCAGCTCCTCTAACCGGAGTCACTAGGTGTCTGCCTGTTTATAAATTTATAAAAACTGAGTGACTAGGAAGTATTATTTTATTATTTTATATTTGATTTGAAGAATATCTCGATGATACATTGCGAAAAATGAGTCTGGAATTTGTTTTTCAAAATTTATCTGAAATATATATATTTTTCCCCTGCAGAAGACAATAGTTTCAAAAGTAGTTGCTGTTTTATGTTTTAGAACATTTTCTTAAAAAAAAAAAACAATTCAAGTATCTTTAGCCCACAGGATTTTTATAGAAATTCCGCTTGTCAGGATTAAGAGTGGTTGTGTTTAGGGGCTGGCCCCGTGGCCGAGTGGTTGAGTTTGCGCGCTCCGCGGCAGGCGGCCCAGTGTTTCGTTGGTTCGAATCCTGGGCGCGGACATGGCTCTGCTCATCAAGCCACGCTGAGGCAGCGTCCCACGTGCCACAACTAGAAGGACCCACAACGAAGAATATACAACTATGTACCTGGGGGCTTTGGGGAGAAAAAGGAAAAAAATAAAATCTTTAAAAAAAAAAAAAAAAAGAGTGGATGTGTTTAATACTCACGCTTCAAACCCTGACCTGTGTCTACACTGCTTCCCTCTGGGCCATGCCCAGAATAAACATACTAGTCAGACCCCTTGTTAAACAAGAAATTATCGCTCAAATGTCAAAAGAATTACAAAATCCATCTTCTAGGGTTGCTCTGTTATTTGTTTTTATTTTGCACAGAGCTCATTAGAAGTATATATGTTCTCTGTTGCAAAGCAAAAGTGATCTCATCAAGTGGAGAAATTTTGTACAAGTTTTAGTGTGTTACAGTCTTTGACTACAGGAATTTGAGCATGTGCAATGCTGTTGTATGGGTCCTGGACAGTGTCAGAAGGATGATTGCTAAGCCAGTTTGCTTGTGTAACGTGGAATTATTCTTCTGCAGAGCTGACTTTTGTTCAGGGTAAGATAAGCCTTCGTGGTAAGATTTCTCCCAGAATATAGGTCCTTTGCCATAGTAACTGGACCTGGTCTCAATTTGATAATCTCTTTTTGGTGAGGAAGATTGGCCCTAAGCTAACCTCTGTTGCCAATCTTCCTTTGTTTGCTTGAGGAAGATTGTCCTTGAGCTAATATCTGTGCCAGTATTCCTCTATTTTGTATGTGGGACACCACCACAGCATGGCCTGAGGAGTGGTGTGTAGCTCCATGCCCAGGATCCAAACCCACAAATCCTGGGCTGCCGAAGCAGAGCATGTGAACTTAGCCACTATGCCACTGGGCCAGCCCCTCAATTCGACAATTTTTTAAGCTTTATTTGAGTAGGTAAGTTTGACATAATTTCCACTGAAACCTGAACATCATGACAGAATGTGTCTGCTACAGCCCCTTCCTAAATTGGGAGGATTGTTTCTGTAGGGTACACTTCTTGAGTGATCGGCATCTTAATCAAAGGGAAAATATTTCATAAAATTAATCTATAGTTACAAGTTTTAATATTGTTGAGTGTCAGCTTCTGGACTGAAAGTATGTGGACCATGAATTACACTTGTAATTCAAGAGCATCATTTATTTGTTTATTTTAAATGAACCATCCTGCACTTACTCTGTCTGCCGGGAACTCCTTCAACTTCCCATGTCCCCTCAAATCTGTCTGCATGCCCACCCATTCTTCCTTTCACTCTAAGAGAAAGAGGCATCTGTTCTCCTGTTCAAGAAATCATCAACTTTTCTCCTTCCGTGTTTACTTCTCTGCCGGGCCCCACCCCCCTTACGCCAGGCACACATATACACGTAAACATACACACGCTTCCAACAACAGAGCGTGATGCCATTTTATTAACTGGCAAAGAAGTGCAGTGCTTTGTGGAAACAGATAGGAGTGCCCCAATCTGCGCCCACAGGAAATTTCTCCCACAGTTTATATTAGAATTTTTATAGATTCATTTTTTTATATAAATCTTCAATCTCTATGAAACTTATTGATAATGATACATTTTCTCCCCCACAGGACTCACCATTTTTTCCCAGCACCATTTATTGAATAATCCATCTTTTCTACTGATTTAAAATGCCACCCCTATCTTTGCATTCCCTTATATATTTGGATCTATTTCTAGACTTTCTGTTCCATTCATCTGCTTGTCCATCCATCCATTCATTCAGCAAATATTTGTTGGGAGTCTTATACTTGCCTGCATGCCAGACACTCTTCCAGGTGCTATAGTCAAAATTGAATAAAACATGTTTCTTAGCCCTGTGGAGCTTGAGTGTGGAAGCAGACAGTAAACAAATAAATATAAATCAGGGGCTAACAGTACAATGGAGATAAGTCCTGTGTCTGTTCATGAGCTAATTATTCACTGTTTTAATTATTCTGAACCTTGATCTTGAAAAGGAGATGGGAGGGCAGAGAGGGGAAGACAGACGGAGGGAGGTGGGGAGAGAGAGATGGAGAGTATACTAAATAAAGAGATGCTATGGAAGGCTGAGTGGGCTCTATCTACTCTATCGAATACCATCTGCAGAACCCTGGGCAAGGTGCTTATCCCAGATGTCAGAGTTCTCAACTGTGAAAGAGGGACACTGCAGAGGATTGTTGTGAAGCTAAATGAAATATTAGTAAACCACCTGGTTAAATGGTTAGTAAACATTTTCTTCTTAACCATCACACATTTTGACTAGCTAAAGCCTCCTACCATTCAAGTGCCTCTCTTTCAAAGTGGAATTTTCAGAACAGCGGGCCTGGGTTGAGGCTGGGGCTTGGAAACGTTGAGTGGATGAGGAAGACTTCATTGCTTTGGGGAAAATGTGAAAAAAACAGCTCAGCCCTCCCTCAAAATCCAGGCCCAGGCCTTCCTGGGTCCTGGTTCTTATAGTAGAAGAAAGAACGAAATAAATGCGAAGGACTTTGGTGCCAGCTGCTGGCACAGAGAAAGGATGGATAAAGAACAGTTACTGGGAGCTTGCTGCTGTGATGCAAGAGGTAAATCCTGGCATCCCATAG